CTGCATCTAACCACTTTATCAGTCATATCCTCTGGTTTCACTAATGACTTATGTATACCTGAGATCGTCGCCCCTGTATCTCTCAAAATTGAGACGATTCGATTACCAACTATTCCTTTATGTAGGTTTAATTTCCCACAGTCTTTCACAGAATTTGCATTATGCACCGGTATCTTATGCCCACATGGTAAGTCTCCATATTCTTGAAAAGTTTCACATATTGTGCATTTGTCTTCTTCTAGTAGCACTGCTGCATTTGTTTCAGATATATCACTTTCTGACTCGGAGTCTGATGTTTCACATACTGCTGCTGCTTTAAATTCTTTTTTATATTTGCAAAATTGACGCGTGTGCCCGTAGAATCCACAAGCCCAGCATTTACTTGTACTATCATATCTCTTTACCTTTTTCCTCCTGTTTTCAATTTTCTTTCTGACTTCTTGTTCATACAATTGATTGGCGTCGCAAATGGTTTCATTACCATGCCTTTTTTTGCATATGTCACAATCTATTATTGTTATTTTCCTTCCTCCATTAACTCTTCTTCTGGACGGATATGCAGATCTATTATATCCTGTTTCATATGACTTTTGTCCTTCGGCACTGGCTCCTGAGTATATATCAGTGTTTTGTGGTATGAGAAAAATATCACGATGTGCTGCATAATAATTTTCTCCTAGTTGTTCAAGATGTTTTAACGAAGTAGGTTTGTGTTCCTTCAGAAATGTGGTCATAGGTTTTGGTAATGATTCTAGCAATTTACTTCTTAATAGTAAATCAACTAACAGATCATAGTCGTTGTTAATTTTGGCTGAATCTACCCATTTCTGAAAAGTTGTCTGAACTTCGGACATATAATCAACAAATGTTTGAGTTGATTTTGGTTTTAAATCAATGAATTGCAATCTGTATCCTGCTTCTTGTAGGTCATAGTGCCTCATTATCCGGTCTTTAATATAATCAAAATCAAGTCGTAAATTTTCTGGCACTGTCTCCAATATTTTTAACGGTTCTCCTCCAAGGTGTCTTTGGAACAGTATTGCCCAATCTTCTTTTGGAATTTTATGAAACCGAACTTGTAGTAAAAATGCTGAAATCCATGATCCAATGTCATCCTTTTCACCAAAATTCTTTATTAATCCTTTGTATTTTGTAAATTTATGTTCTTCTTCTTTAGCTCTTTCCCTCTGTGCTGCCAGTTCTGCTTTGGATTCATTATCCATTTCTTTTGTTCTTATCTGTGCTTCAACCTTTTGTCTGTCTGCCTCTATTTGTGCTGACAATCGCTCTTGTTCAAGTTTTAACTCTTGCAATTTGATTTCTTTCTCATGGTCTAATTGCTGTTGTTTCATTGCTGCTTCATGTTGTAACTGTTTAATTTTCAGTTCTGCTTCTTGTTGTAATTGTTTCTCTCTCAATTCTGCCTCTTGCTGTTTCATTGCTGCTTCGTGGGCACGTGCTTCTGCTTCCTGGGCGCGTGCTGCGGCCCTTTCTTCACGATCCAATTGTTGTTGAACCCTTTGTGCTTCTTTAAGCTCCCGGTCGCGTTCTTTGTCCTCCTGTTCTCTTCCTTCACAGAACTTTCTCAATTCTTCTCCTGATAACCCTAACTGTTTTCCCAGATTTATGTATTCTGCTAAGTTTGCCATTTTAAACTGATTATTGTAACTTATTACTTTTGAAACTTTAAATTTAAGATAAATCCCGTATTATTTAATTAATACCTTAATTAAATAACTGAAAGTTTAAATTTAATTATATCCCCTAACTAATTTTTATACTCAACTAATAAATAAAAAAAATATTATCTATTTTACTTAAATAGAATAATAGAATATCACAATCAAAGAACCTGAAAATAGAACAAAGAAAGCATGTAACAATGTAATGAGTTGACTCTTTTTCCTTGGTCCTGGTGATGGCTCCCTTGCTCTTCTGCTGTTGGGATGGACTGGATTAGGTTTGTGGCCCTTGATGCTCCACTGCACGTCTTTACTGTCTCTGGACACGCTCTTCTGATCTTTGTAGGACACTGCTCTTGTCTTCTGTCGTGGTCTAAGTCTGCAGATGATCTTAAAAGACTACCATTAGTTTATGCTCATTCAATAATTCAAATATGTCCAAAATGTTTTTATACCCTGTAGTTTAACAATCTACACTGAAGTTGATCAGTTGGCACAGATCACTAAATGTTCACAGTTAGCGCATATTAATTTCTCTAATTGTCACCACAAACTGTTGATAAATGTTAGATTCTCACTGAAATACTTTTCTTACAAAGAATGTATGTAGTTCTACTCTACAACCTGAATAGTCATAGTCTATCACATTAATCACTGTTTTTACTGTCTATCCATTATAAATTGTAAACATTTCGTGACGTAATTAATGTTGATAAACACCACTCCTTCCTTGCCTACACAATACACACTTGAACTCACCTATACGGACGTATTACAAACATTTAGTAGTAAAAGTACTACTATTGGTGCAGACTGGACCCCGATCTTTTTTATTGACAAGTATTCTTGACCTGAGGCATTCACTTGTGGCCGGTGTGCTGTACGGTTGCCTCGAGTTAGCTGTCGCTGATGACGTTTTATCTGCTACTGTGTTGTACTACTTGACCGTTGTTGATGACCTTGCTCGCTGTAACTGAGTGCCGTCTTGGCCCCTGGCAATGCAGTGTTCTTGCGGTGAAATCTAGTCCGAAAATTCGTATCTCTGGTTTATGACCTCTTGTTTGACGAACAAAACCCACGTCAAACAACAGTCACAGGGATACCGTTGCTGACAATTTTCCGTCGTGGATTACCCACCACAAGGGTCAAAAGTTCAGCTTACAGTCTCTTCCAGCGACGAACAAGCGTTCCCGCGGGATGAAACGTGTACAATTTTTTCACACGTGAAGTGAATACATTACCCAGTATTGCTTCGCCGTGTTTCTGCCCATTTTTCTCAGGCTAGCTTGTTTGTTTCAGAATGACTAGAGTCTGGAATTCAGTTGTCCCGGTTTTACTTAATGCCCTTGACAGCATGTCCTGGTCTTACATAATACCCCGACATTTCTTTAAACTCCATCTTCCAACACACATAGTCACTCAAACTTACGGCTGCCGGTATTTGCCTAAATTTTACTTCTGTCCACAAAAACACTACGTCTAATGTACTGGCATAGTTATAACATGCCTGCACTGTAACTTACACTTATAACTTACAATGTATTCGCACTTAGGACGGGTCCCCAATGTAATGACTGCCCTTTTGTGTCTCCTCCACACTGACTATCTGTGGTGCAGAGTTAACACTGGCTCTAATGCCTAGAGGTTCACAACTCAATCAACGCAGACATGATCCTCTTCATGGTCACACAACGTCTAACAACGGTTAACACCAGCGGCACATTTCACGAGTTTATTGACACGTTAGTTCAATACACAAATCACAGGTGAATCCACTTACAGCATTCGGACAATAGACGTTGACATATTCACAGCTGGCTTTGACAGTCAAACAGGGTACCATTCACAGCTGGCCTTCTCGATCATTCATTCCTCGCCGATTCAAATCCACATGCTCTAGTCATTCTCCATTCATCTTCACAGCTTCATTTTCCATCCTTTCTCTCTGGGGCCCAGTCACCGAATGCCCACCTGATTCTCAATCCCCCAGATCTCCTCATTCACACGTGACACACTCTTTCCTGTCGTTTCACCATATCTCCGTGAAACACATGCTCTCAGGGACTTCCCCAGTTATGCCAATCATCCCCTGACATTATCCCTATTTATAACATCATTACAACAACGAAGCGCCAGTGTATGGCATAATGTGCACAGGGGTTAACCTCAGTATTCTTTTGTGCATATTCTGTTGAAATTCTGTCTTTCATACCAGGTGATTTTTCACTTACTATTTGATTTGATTTCTATTTATTGTGCAGTTTTTTCTTATTTTGTTTTGGGAATTCACGCCTCTTTCGACTACCCATATCCTAATATTTATTAAAAACAAATAAAATAATTAATAAACTAAAAAGAGAAAACCAATTTATTATATAGCTTAATGACAAGAGATTAAGTAATTTTCTTTTAAAAATTCACCTACAACCTTGTATCATGAATATATAAAAGGACTGTGGGGTGAGAAAACAATAAAATCTAAAAATCAAATTGCACTGTCAAAATATAAGCCTTTACCTTTATCAAATTAGGGCAACTTTCTCAAACTTACATATCTGTTTAAATACAATCTTTTTATATAAGACTTTAAATATGATTTAATGAAAATTATTGTTTAAGTTTCCAATATTTCCACAATTTTTAATAAAAACCCAAGTATTGTTGATTTTTTGTGCTTCCAGTTGATGATATTATATAATATTACTCCATTAATTCTATTACTTGTTTTGCTTTATTAACCAATTCACATAACAATAGGTACAGAGCGAGCGGAAGACCTTGGAAAATATGGCATTTAGAACAGCCTTACAGAAATGAACATCAATCTTATTAGTGCTCTTGACAGAGCTCATCAACGAACATCATCCCGACACTTCCCTGAGGTACAAGGTGGAAGAGAAGAAGAAGATATTATATAGTTATTAACATCAGCGGACATACAGTAGAACCTCGCTTAACGAGCGCCTCTCATAACGAGTAATTCGAGTAAAATAAGTATAACTTATTCATTGCATTTTGTGAGTATTTTTTTGGGACATGGAACACATTATCGTATTTTACATTAATTTATATGAGAAAAATTGCTTCGCATAACGAGTGTTTCGCTTAATGAGTATGATTCTGAAACGAATTATGCTCGTTAAGCGAGGTTCCACTGTAGCTGGTCACCTATATATATATATATATATATATATATATATGAGGCTTGCTGTAGCTCTTGGCTCTGACTAGGCAAGTGTACACCTCAAAACATGCATGAAAACATACAGATAAATTTTATCTTCTCTAAAAAATATAGCAACAATGTTGATGAATTACCTGTTTTGATGTCTGTGAGCATGCAGCTAGAATACTTTTATGTTTCCTCTTCCTTTGTTTTCTTATGACCTCTGTCTCTTCTGTAACCTCAGATTTCAGCAGACGCTGTGATAGGATGGTGCCCAAGAATGCAAACATCTCCTCCTGTTTCCAAAGATCAAAAACTCAAATATTAAAATGAAAATTCATGGTGTGAACACACAAAAGGTCAATATTTTGATATCATATCCACATCAAATATGCAGAAAGAACAGCAAATTATCCGATCTTCACTACCTTTCATTTTCATCATACTACGAAGTAGCTTCATCCATCAAGTACCAACACTTTCTACAGAAGGCATTTGCCACAAACAGCAACAACTCAGAATCATTTTAAAAATTTTATTTACTAGAAAGTCAATCACATATGAAATGTTTCTTAGCATGTCTGAACACCCTATGAAAGAAAGATTCCAAATTCTAGCAATGATGCGACCAGAAAGAAGCAGTTTCATCCACCAGGTCCAAAGACTATGCAGGCAAACCAATGATTTGCCTGCAACTAATAGCCCCTTAAATGCTTTTCCAGATCGGACCCCTTGGAAAGAGGATTACAAGTTGCCAATACACATCCAGACAGAAGTGAAAGAAGTATTCGACAAGGAAGAACAAAACAGTGCAACGTAAATCAGCCACGCTCGCTCTTTTTGATGGTGAATACCTACTGAATCTTTGAATTCATGTCTAGACCGATGGGCCAGTACAAAATGCAAGCAAAAATTGAGGAGCAGGAATGTCCAAATAGTACCTGATACACCGACAAAATACCTACACGAAAGCACTGTCACAACTATGATGCAGAAGTTCAAGCCATCAAAATAGCCAGGGAAACTGTTAAATATACATATTTTTCACCACCTGTGGTATTCCTAACAAATGCAAGAGCAGAACTTAAGGCACTGCAGTCTGTAAAATTACCTGGTATACAAACACTACTCTCCAAACTAGGCAACCAGTGTAAGGTAACTATGTTCACATGTAGACTGGCACCTGAGCCAACAGATCATGTCCTCCAAGACTGTATATGAAAGGGGAGAGAGCTATACCAGAAAGGTTGTCCTGCTCTTACTATCATGTCAGAACTTTGCTTCCTATCGTCTCTGTTGACATGACACAATGGTGTTGTACAAGACTCTTGCAGTCTTACAATCCCTAGTATAGACTTCTGAGCTATGTATATATATATATGTATGTATGTATATATATATATATATATATATATATATATATATATATATATATATATATATATATATATATATATATATATATATATATATATATATATATATGGAATAATGCAAGATTTAGGTACTAGGTATATGGGGTATGAGATGATTGCTAATTCTGGTTTTCCTTTTTGTCACAGGATTTTAACTTCAGTGGAAACCTGGTCGACAATCATCCAAAAAGTATCCAACCTACCTACAACCAACCTACCACCAGTAGCCAGACAACTCCAACATTACTTCTTGGGTCATTCCTGTGCCTGCATCCTATTGTGACAGTATTCTTCAAATAAAGTCAAACATGGGAGAGACTCATCCCCTTTGTGGCAGAGTGTTGTCTGGCATCTTCCCTGCCTATATCTTAGGCAAGTGACTATAGTTACTGTAAGGGTATTAAAATTTAACTGTTGGACAGTGTACCCAGTTATACCTATATGCTAAGGAGAGAAGTTCTTGATCATTGTACCAGCCATCCCAGATGTGTAAGAAGACATTTGTTCCAGTGAACCGGACCTGGGGGCAGATAAGTGAAGTATCAGCAGATGCGGTTAATCTTTTCCTAAGTGCCTGTTCCAGGAATCCAACGTTCCACATCTTAGCAGTGATGATGATGGCTGCTACTAGGAGCAACTCTTGCGCTATTCAGTCATAACTTGTCTTTTTTTTCCTCAGTAATATTGGTTCTATTGAATTCCTACATTTGTTATACTGATTACATGATATTTTGTGATTGTTACATTCTTGGGTTAGTGTCCATCCTTCACTGTTCCTAATTGTCTGAAGTAGTCTGGTAGTCTTAGTTTCAGCTTCATAGCAAACGGGTCGCCCCATCTTTGCTCCGCTCCCGTGCCAACGAAAAACACTCAGAATGTTTATCTCAGTCCCTTGTGGAAAGATTGACAGACTGCTGTCTCAGCATATCTAGCATACACTCGCATTAAAGCATACGGTAGCCAACCGAAGTGCTAGCACAAACAGTCCAAAATTAGAAATGCAGTTCATCATTGATGATAGCAGAACTTGTCGCCAACAGATCAGCAGTTGCCCGCGCAATCAATTGTAATCACATACCGCCAACATTGCACGACCGGCATCACGCCATTTTCTGAATCTACAATTCACACCACCACGTTGGTCACAGTCGAAAATACATTCCAAATGCAATCCGCAGCTGACAGGGTCACGCCATGCATTCAACTCAGAAGCTGGGCGACGAAACTATATCCAGTCTCCAAATGGAGCAAAAATACTTTGACCACCGTCCGGCAGAAGCAAAAAATTTGCCTCTGCTTCGAACAGCGCCGCTGTCTAGCGTCCATTTTAACCGGAAGGTTAAAAAGTCTGAAGTGTATGTAGGAGTGGTACATTACATGTTTAACTGTGTTATTGTGAATAGCATAGGAGACTATCTAGTAAGGAAGTCAGGCCAAGTTGTGCCTAGGAATATTTTATGTTCTGTAGTGCCATAGAGTCGCCTCACCCTTGAAGGATGTTGGATGTTCACTGGAGCTGCAGGATTCCGACTAGACTATTGCAAGCCAACATCTCAACATTTTAAAACTACTTCAGAGTGCCATTTGGTTCAGTCAGGGAAAACAAGGCACGTGACACTAGCAGTATGTGACAGTGGTCATATTTTCCCTAATGTTTCTGATGATGTATGTGATTTTCTTGATTTTGCTTCAAAAAGTGAATCTGAAGTCACTACTGAACAGTTTGGTGCTATGACTATGATAAATTTAACGAAGTGCAATTTAAAACCTTGTCGACTGTGAAAACGACGGCATGACACTTCGAAGTCTGAGTCTAACAAAGACTCGACCGATAGTTACACAGTTGGCTGCAAGCACTAGTGCGGCAGTTTCTGATACTGATAGTTCTTGTGAGAGTATTTTGTCAGAGCCCACAGATTATGAAGATTTTGTGCCTGAGTCTGCACATGACAAAGATATCATTGCCACTTTTGATTGAGAACCATCATCATCTGACGAGCTCGGAGAAGATTTGCCACGCCACCCACTGGTTGATGACTGGCATGGTGATTTAGAAGGCTTTCCTGGAGTACCCCCATTTACTGGAACTTCTGGTTTATTTCTGCCAGAAAGAGCAAATGAACCACTGGATATTTCAAATATTTTCTTCAGTAAAGACATTCTTGCTGTGTTTGCTAAAGAAACAAACCATTATGCTGAGGCAAAGATTGGTGCAAAACCAGACAGCTGTTTTGCAAAGAACTGGAAACACAACCCCAAATGAAGTGACAGGGTTTCTTGTACTGTTGCTTCACATAAGTGTTGTGAAAAAGCCATCTATTTTAGACTAGTGGAGCATACATCCATTTATTCACTCACCATTTGCTGCCACCATCATGTCACGGAGGCATTTTCTATATATTGCTGTCAAAGATTTTTCTGTTGCCTTTTTTTCCCCCCACCATATCTACAGCCACATGATGATGTCAAACAGTAAATCTACTTTTTTCTTGACATCTGTTATATATTTAATTTGGTGTAAACAATATCAGATAGGATGGGTGATCTTAAACAGTTGTGAAGCTGTGACATTTTTTGGGTCTGTAATAAACGATTTTTCAATTGCCTTTTTTTTTGCTGATGATGATGATTATGAAAGACAAAGTAAAACCCATTTTTTGTCTTCAATGTGTTCTCGGTTCAATTGTGTGCAAATATACAAAATATGATAAATATTTATTAAACATTTTTTGAAGATATGACATTTTTATTAGTCTATATTGTCGCCAGATAAAAAAAAATTCCGTTGCCTTTTTTGCACCAATCTACAGCCACATGATGATGATGATGCAAAACAGAATAAACATTTTTTTTTCTTGAAATTTGTTCTTAATTCAATCTGGTGCAAAAACACAAAATACTGTGAGATTATATCAAATAGTTGTGAAGCTAAGGCATTTTTAGTAAGTAAAGTAACAAAATAAAGATCCCTTTCCACGCCTTTAGGCGTATCGGGCATACGGGAAGAGCGCCCATATTTTTACAGACCATCAGCACTGGGTAATGTGGTCAGCATTACGCCGGCTGTCTTTACTTTCCCAGGACAGCCCATCCTGGTGGCATTTTTAGTACACACTAAAATACGTGGTATCTGGGAAAATGCAAGAGTTAATAAGCTTGGTTGTCAGTGGGTTATTCTGCACCCATTTATTTTTAATTCGATGTATTATATGGCACGATACAGCCAATACTTTTTTTCAGGAAGGTTTCAGCTTTTCCATGTTGCAGTAAAAAAAATTCCGCACAAAATTAATGCTGTCCAAACCCCAGAAAAAATGTGGTCCTGAAAAAGTTAAATGTGTTTCAAGAAATAAAAATCTAGCTGTATAAATTGTTTCCATTAGCGGAAAGTATTTTATCATTGTGTTTTAAAACATGAAAATTAACACTGAAAAAACAAAAGTTATGACCACTTCAAGAATAGAACAACCAATTAAAGCAAGCAAACGACTTCATGTATCTAGGGAGCATATCATCCAGTGGACAAATGAAAGGAGAGATAATCAGATGTAATAAAGAAAATAAAATCATTGGATAGATGTCAACAATACTGCAGAACAAACATGTAACAATTGACTCCAAAAGAGCACTGTTCAATAAAGTTGTTTTTTTTCCCCAGCAACATTGTGTTACTAGCGCTAAATATGGACATTTAATAACAAAAGAGAAAAGAAAAATCAAAACAAAAGAAATGAAATGACTACGGTGAATCCTAAATGTAACTAGAAGAGACAGGATCAGAAATGACAATATAAGGAAATAAACTGGGACAAAACCAGTATTAAACTACATCAAGAGATCAAATGGTTTGGACATGTGCCAGACAGTGCACCACAGAGAGACCTGTAGGTTAGACACAATGGAAGCAGATCCAGTGGTCAACCACACAAGCGATGGATAGATGGAATATTTGAGACCATAAATATCAGCACCAATAAAGCATATACCAAGTATGAATATGCTGTTTATAATCTTTCTTGGCGCTCATACTTATGTTTTGATGTCTGAATAACAGTGTCAGTTGGTATTATAAGTGCACTGGCTCATTGGCATCTTGTTTCTATTTCCCAATCTATTCTATCCTTCAAGAATATACTTCCTAAATATTTAAATTATGTAACTTGCTTCAGACAGATACCACTCAATATGATATGTATTGAATGGTCCTAATAAGAAGTTTAAAACTTTGTTTTTCTTATTTCTGTTAGACTGATTTTTGAGGGGTCGATAGTTTATCTAGTCAAGAAAAACAATATTATTATAATATGGACTTCCTGACTGAGGTACCAAGGAATTTAAGATCCATCCAGTTTTGAAGGTCTCAAAATTTATATAATACTGAAAAATGTACTCAATTACTAGATCTGATATGCCAATGATATTAATAATAATCTAGTGCATAACAGCAAATTATTTCCCCAAACAATATTTTGAGTCTGTATATTTGACACTGTATATGCAGAACAGACTAGTAGCTAAGAGACAGGCATTGAGGAAGCAAAGCTATCATTAATATGTAATTGGGTAAAGAAGATTATATATATATATATATATATATATATATATAAATGTAAACATATTCACTGTTTTTTGTAGCAATATAAAAGCAATGCACACAAAACATATAGGGTCAAAACACTACTAACCATTATGAATCTATCTACCACTGCCTGAGTGACATCATAGCTTAGTTTCTTAGCATGAGATACTCGAAGTTGATCATCAGCACCACCAATCAGTAGTAGACTTGTTTCTACCTTCAATTTCTCACGGATGTTCTCTAGACTGTCAATGGAAGAGCTGTTTGCATGCTGGCCAACAACAAACAATGTTGGAGTTTTACAGGTGTAGAATGAATCCTCTATTTCCTATTTGCAAGTAGAAAAAACAAGTAGTTATAAGTTTCCAGGCTGAGAACCTATGGTCTACATTCCAAGTTGTCTGGTATATTTGCTGTCAAAGGCATCTTGAGCAAACTTCTATAAAGGCACATTTCTGTAGCCATCACTGGATCTTCTGTTTGTCTGTTAATTGTACATCTCTTTAAAAATACATCTGATGCAACATGTAGAATAATTTTTGTCCAACTACAAATGGCAGGGACTTGCATCATTTCTTTAACCTACAAGGTGTAATATCAAGATAATTGCACAATGTTGTAGGAGCTCAACAGAGATGGAAATATACAGTAAACAAGAATATGTTTCAAGATACTGAGGAGTGTATTGATATATATGTAGATATATATGGCAAAAGTCAATGTATATAAACTAGGACAGCTTCTGTGCAGAGGACTGAGCATCAGTGGGAATGTCTGATCTGCAATGACATCAATTGGAATAACATAAATTACGAAGAAGGCAATCTAAATTCTTTGGGTACATAGGAAAAAGTGTATTTTTTTGGGTGACAGTGGGAAAGTTGGAGGGGAAAAGAGGAAGAGACAGATCAAGAGAGAAGATGTCAGGCAGTTTGATCTATATCATAAATGACTGACACTTCAAGAGACACAAGGTTGTAGACAGAAATGGTTACCAACACTGCCCATGATGGATTATGTGAACACATACAGAGAGTAGGGAGTTCATGTATAAACATTTGTTTTCAGATGACAACTATGAGCTGTGAGTGAAAGGTATTCATTTCCTTACCCCACGATCTCCATAGATTCCAGTGGTTGGAAATCCCAAACAAACAACTCCAGTGACAAACTCCACAACAGCAACCTAATGGAGAGGTATTTCCCATTCTTAAATAATGGCATGTAAAGTCTGCACATTATAAAATATATACTATTAAAAATATACATATTTTTAGGAGCAGGATTTATGATGCTAAAATATAATTTTGGTAATTCAAACTGAAAAATATTTGGCTACACTTTGCCACAAATGGTGTGGCCCGTAAATAATGAAGTTAAGATTTTAACAGGGAGACAAAATAAGTCATGTGCAATAACTCCACATTTGGTTTCTTTCCTCTTTGATCTTCTCTATAGAAAAGCCATTTAAGTGGGCTGCATACGAAGTTGTGTTAGTTGCCTTTGCTACTTTGCTACTCTAATCTGATCTTTCATTCAAGGTCACAATAAGTATTTTTGCAGACATATCCTATGTGGGCAAAATTCAGTCTTTTCTGTTGCGGTCACTGCCAAGTTAATAACTATTATACAATATTTACAAAACACGGTTATCTTTTCTGCTTCTTCTTCGTTGATCTCAGTGAAGTAATTTGCATTGTGCTTCTCTACAGCATAGCTGTGACAATATTTTCACATTTAAGCTGACAAATCCAACTTCATTGGGTATTTATTAACCGTTAGCATTTCAGTTCGGTTCACGGGGCAGGGTGTTGCAAATAGAAAACCCACCCAGGACTGTCACATGCAGACTGGTCAGCCTTCAAGGAAAATCAGGGCCAGAACACGGCCTTCCAAGGAGGCTTCCATAAATGTAGAGCCAAAATAGGACGCTCTGGTCCTGGTCTCACCCATGGAATTGTCATGTCCAGCACTTTGCATAACATTACATAATGAGCTTCCTATTCATCACAGGCTGAATCCTTTAGAAATAAACAGTAAGCAGTCCACAGATCCAAGATTTTGATGACCAAACAGATGAGCACAATCTTTCTCAGCCCATCAGACACCTTCAACATAGATGTTGTAGTGAGTCATTTTCTCCCCATTAATTTATGCCCGATAGATGACGTCAGTAATAAATGTAAGACGAATGTTTTGACTGACTGAGATAACACGAGATTTATGTCTTGAGTTTCATGAGAGACATTTGAAAGTCAGGTTTTATGTGAAACATGATTGTTCACGTGAACCATGAAGGTTGACTGGCAGGATTCGTGTGAAATGCGAATTATCACGGGCCAGACTGACTTTCAACGGTGGGGAATTCGTGAGAATGAAATTATCCAGAATATTCGAGAACAGGACAGATCAGAGTGCTATATAATAGCGAAGAAAAGGTTTGTGAGGCAGTCTCGTTTAGGCCAAGGGAAAGTGTATGTGTTCGGAAGAATGTTGACGTCTGAATAGCGTGATTTCCCAATGCCTACCTGGCATAAAATAGCAGCTGACGGAAACGGTGGCCAGCTGTGAATGACTGTCGTCTGGATGGAGGGAGCTACTGTGTTTTCGATGAGTTGTGTGAATTCTACGATGTTACAAAGGTATGATTGACTGTTTAGAGCATTAAATTAATAATCGATGAGTGATATTGTCGTGTATAAACATTTACTGACTGCAACATCAGCGAGTGAAAATAAACAGTACGTGTAACTTCTGAACGTCTGCCAGCGTCCATGTTTTCTCGTTCTTGTCAGTTGGTGAATGGAAAGATGCGGTGACTCATTCGAGCCAGCAATTAATTACAATGAAGATCACTGAAGAATGGGGAACTCGTCCAAACATTTGAGGATAGGAAAGTTGTTTCGTACAGTAAAATCTGAGACATCGAAATGTGTTTAGTTATCAACCTGACGTCAGGTAGTACCAGTTCAACATAAGAACGTAAGCGGGGAAGATCGATGGCGACATAACAACAACCCATATTCGATAGTTCACAGATTGAACAACTTTCGGACAAATTCCAGGCTCTGAATACTGATAGACAAGTCCACGTTTAAGTTTCGACCAAGTAACAAACAATCAACAAAGATGCAAAGGAAAGATTGCAGACAGTGACAGTGTCAAAGAGCAATCATTAATGTTAGCAAAGGAATACAACAGTAAGTCTACACAGAGATGATGTGAGACTAGGGCTGCCCCTCTGCAAAACTTCCGAAGCCTTGTTGTTTGATCAAATTTTGCTGCCGACTAAAGTGTGGTAAAGTGTAGTGGGAAATCTACACTGAACAACACAGAGAAGCGTCGACACCAGATCCTGTTTTTTCGGATCTGTTTTTTCAAAACATAGAAAGACAGTGAAACACCGGGTAGAGTGTTAACTGTACGGAAATCAAAAGAACCACAGCTCTGACACTGGGTGTTTGTGTCGCAGCTCTACATTTTCAGCCGTGGCAAACCATTTAATAGGAAACTACAGTATGACAAGTCTACAAAACCTCAAGATCAGCACTCATTGATGTCTCATGATCAATAATGCTTCAAGTTCATCGTATAATAATCACCCATATCATAAGAAAGCGATAACAATAAAGCTTTCCTACGTCCTAAACACATTCAGTCGACAGGAAAAGCATCAAATTGGTTGGTGCAAATCTAAGTATTGATTGAAGTGTGTAGCTAGCAGTGAACTATTTAAGTGTCTACAGTTAGCAATGTACTATTGAAGTGTGTAGCTAGCAGTGAACTATTTGTCTACAGTTAACAATGAACTATTGAAGTGTGTAGCTAGCAGTGAACTATTTAGGTGTCTACAGTTAACAATGTACTATTGAAGTGTGTAGCTAGCAGTGAACTATTTGTCTACAATTAACAATGTACTATTGAAGTGTGTAGCTAGCAGTGAACTATTTAAGTGTCTACAGTTAACAATGTACTATTGAAGTGTGTAGCTAGCAGTGAACTATTCAGTGATAAATATCCAGTTTATGAAACCGATAGTACAGTGAACAGTACCACAAACAGTATACAGTTTCTGTAATAAATGCTTCACTGAACAATTGCTTAATCAGTGTGCATTCAATGCTAAAATTAATAGTGTGAACAGATAAACTGGGCGGTCATAATTAATTTCAGTGCCCAGTTGATGAAATTATTACTATGGTGTTTTAATTTTAATTAACCCTATCAAATTAATCATTTCTTCAGTATTTTAAAAGTAGCAGTAACATATTCAACGGACAAGCTTCAACGAAACAACCTTCAAGAAAACAACAGCCATCGCAGAACCAGCTTCAGGTCAACTTCAGGACAGTCAACTAGATCAGCACAACAATTTACAGCATTGATTATTAATTTTATTTTTGATTTTTTTTTTTTTTGGTGATTCAGTTATTTATTATAATTATCAATATTATTTATTTTTTTGGTGCATTCATTGACATTTATTTTATTTATTTATTATTATTATTACATTGGTTTTTGATATTATTTTGCATTATTCTACTATTCTTTACATTATTTTTTTAAATTTATTTATAAATATTGGCAAATTGTATTGAAATTCTATATATTTTTTTCATTTAAAAAGTTGTGGGTGTTATATTACACGGAAGTTCTTTACCACCATCATCAGGAAGTGCCATAATTAATCATACACACATCATCATTATCAAGTGTCAAAGTTATTTCAATTTGAGTTTAACATTTGATCTACCTATTCACATTTAATCATCATCAAGTGTAACCACTATAACAAAAGTACAGTTGTGGGTAATAGAAATTGTAATTGGGGAAAGATCATTGTAATATTATTTGGTGATACACTTATTGATCTTTATTTAATCTGTATTGAATAGTATTATTGTTGATGTCTAATATAGACTAAAGGTATTGGTGGATGAGAATTATTCAGTTACCAGTTTCTGCATATATATTATAACTAAGTGTTGCTTCATTGAAAGCGAATTTAATAAGCATCATACTGAACAAGTGTATTAAGTAGTTATTACGTGAAATAAGTTAATTATTTGAGAGTATTATTGATTACTCTATCAGTCTATTATAAAGACTAGTTCAATCAAATATTTTTTTTTATTTTATTAGAAGAGTATTTGATTATACCCAGACTGTGCGGCCATTAAACACAATTTTTTTTGGTGTTATTTCACAGGGTATAATCAGTCTGAAACTTTATAACCAACTACTGTACTACACAGGGTTATTGTAACATTTAATCATTGTTACACATTTACATATTAATTAGTTATTTATGTGGGAAATACTTTGATAGTCCACTACATCTAACACTTTGATAATCCACTGTATCTATTCTAGGGCTACATTCTATTAGTTAATTAATAATCTTTATCAAATAATATATCATTTTTTCTTACTGTCATATCTAATTTCTCGAGTGTGCTTAACTGATTTATTCCCCCATAAGCTAAACAAATATTAGTTAACTCTTCTTCTCAAACATCAACTGTATATATATAGAATTATTTAGTTATAGGCTTGGTGGTTGGAAGAGTTACATCCACTTTATTGTAAGGTATAGTATTGATACCCAAGGACATTTAGTTATTAATTCAAGTTACTAGTTCATTATATTGAACTTATATTGTTCTTTCAGGGTGTGTAATTTGTAAGTAAGGTATTGTAACTTTATTGTTGTTTACATGGTAAAGACATAAAAATGTCTAACTTGGCAGAGCTAATCAAACTGGGCAAAGAATTAAATTTGGAAGGGGAAGAACTTAGAAAGTTTTGTGATGAGAAAGAAAAGAAAATACAAGACGATTTGAGGGAAGAACGAAGATTGTTACGAGCACACGAACTAGATATGAAGACACAAGAGATGGAGATGGAAAATAGACAACTGGAACAAGAAAGAATATTAAAAGAACAAGAATTGAATTAGGAACGTGAGAAAATAGCTGCGTCAATTCAGATTGAAAAAGAAAAGACAGAGGCACAAATCAGAACTAAAGAAATGGAAAATGATTCCAGAAGAGAAGCTGCTATCCAAAAAGAAAAATTAAAAGAAGAAGAAAATAAATTCAAAAAGTATGCAGGTATAGTCAGAAATTTCTCTGAAAAGGATGACATTGGTAGTTATATATCTAGTTTTCTTTTGCAAATGCGCTT